GCATTCAAAATTCTGAATAATTTGTAATATATAATTATTCACGGTATTTAGAAGTGCCCACGATAACAATATCGTGCATATTCATTACCGTGATATATCGCATTACCGAATACCGGCACAAGTCTATTTGGGACATACTACTTCGTCATAACTGCATCTTTAACGGACGCTCTGTTGCTTAGTTACGTGCATTCTGTCACGGTTTAAACTGCCCTGTCAATCATATTATCACAGTTAACATCATCCACATTTCGTTTAATTTGATTTCCTACCGTATTGGAGAGAAATTAAGGTATATCATGCCGAGAACTCTGCTCATGTGTTTGCATAATGATGCATTTAAAAGTTAATGACCAAAAGTATCATTATAAAAGTTCACAGTGTTGCCGCAGATGAAATATAACGTGGATAACATTAAATTTGTATTTTTTCATCAGGTTAGACATTGATTATTTATCACTCAAATCCGTTTATCTACCTGTCTGTTGGTCGAGTGCATTCGCCATGTTTGTAGTTTGTTAACCCTTTTAATGCGTGTTTGTAGTTCTAATTGAATCCTCGTCCACCGCGCAATGTGTTGTGGGCAATATTAGCCGTTAGAGTGTGCATAGTAGACCATCCGGGAATCTTTGGTATACTGTTTTAAACATACTATGATTTGGGACATACTAATTCTATTTTCGAATACTATTTAGGACAGATAGTATGCGAATTGGGAGCAGCACATCTCTGCATATGCTGTGAGTCTGAGTTGCTTGGAAACCTTCATCTGGGAAACAGATTCTATCAGATTTATAAGGTAGATAATGTCTAAACCTATGCCAACACTGGAGAATACCTCATTATCTAAATATGCTAACTGTTAATCGCAACTTCAAAATAAAAGTTTAAACCCTCGCCCCGAGTTTGAATATTTTGATGTCCACATGTACTTGTTCAAGAAATGACAATAGCTGTAGCATTTCTATGATAAAGAAGTGGCCAAAATATTAAGGAATAAGTGGACATTTGAATTAAATGTTGTTTAGTCAATATTAAACTAAAGTGTAAAAACAATTGTTACGCAGACTCTTGGCGCCCTCTAGGCATTTGATATAATGCTAAATGTACATAAATTATGATTATACTGTTTTATTACATTATGTATTTATAACTGCGTTGTTCAATAAAACCAAATGATTACTTCTTGCTTTTGATATTTTCTTAGAACCAATTGTTTTTGCCTAATTGCTATTATATATGTATTTTAAAAACAGATTATGTACAAGCCCACTATGCATACATTATGAAGTCCTCATGATGGCACTATTCCCACAGCAGTCTGGGATGTCAGGCACCCGCACATGCTCCTCTAAACATCATCTAGGTTTGCACCTGCCGTCCACAGGCACCCATCATATGGAATTAAGCATGAAATCTATACAAGTTCAGGTAAGAATCACAAATATTGTATATAACGATCT